GCAGAAGCGATGGAAGGTGGAAACCAATTCCCGGCTCGATTCAGTTCTGTTGCTGTCGTCTATGAATTTACCTGGTGGGGAGCTGGTGAGTGTAGCTCATGCGGAGCAGTGCCAGAGTCCTGTCGTCTTCCGCTTCTGTGGCACAAGCTGAGGCGCTGGGAAGCTCTTCCCACAGTTAGCACAGGGGTAGTGTTGGGTTTTGCGGGTAGGTCTGTAGTGCTCTGATATCTTTAACTCTCAGCGTTATTTGGACATAAACACTTCAGTGATCTAAAGGGGTGCCAGTCTGCCTGATTTTCCTTTGGTGACCAGATTGCATTTTGCGTGGCATGCTAAGGTCCCCCCGCAGTGTAGGTATTAACTGATGTTTTCTCAGTCTGAGCTCCACGTAACTTTTCTTGCATTGTGCGTTTCAGAGAAGGAGATCAGCAGAAGATGAGCTTGCAATGAGGGACTATCTGCAGGAAGGGGACCTCATCAGTGTATCCTTCCACTGCTTGCACTCAGACGGTGGAGCTGAGGGCACAGGGAGAACAGCCAAGGCTCGGGTAGCCTGGCCGGTAGTGAGAGCTCCCCACCGGGGGCAGCCAGCGGCTGCTGGCACTGGGCAGCATTAGGGACCTTGTTTCCTTAAGTGGCACTGACAGGCAGAGGTCCAGTCTGTGTTTTCTGATGGGGCTGTATCACTGCACACACGGAGTCTGAAATATGGGAAGGTAAGTTGTTCAAAAGCACTAGGTCTTGGCCTGATTCCGCTCCAGTTGGCTTGTATAAGGCCTTTTGGGGGGATTTTTAAGAAAAAAGCTCTGGAGCAGAGCAGGATGTCGTTATAACCCATTCCTGCAGGTTGGGAAGAATCTTAGCTCCTACATGGGAGCACCAAGCAGAGTTTCCCTAAAGCAGAGGGAGTGCCCTTGAGTTGCCCTTTGAGCTTCTCCTCTCCCTGTCCACAAAATTACAGCCTGTGAGTCCTGTTTCCCCCCACTAGCCGCTTGGGAATTAAACCCTGGGGAGAAAAATCTTCTGACTCAAACTTCATCACTACTCTTCTGCAGGCCGTTGCCCCTGTGACTTGTTTCTCTCTCCGGGGCTCTATTTTAGGCTTTACGCAGTTGGCATTTATCTCTGGTTTTGTGCATTGAAATAAGCTAAGGGGCCATTGGAGCGTACACTGCAGTTTGGGATTACCAGACCAAGGGTATTAGCACTTAAAAGATGAAAGCGAAGTGTGCTTATTGCACAAAGGGTGAAGGACACCAATTGGATTAAGAGGGAAAGTGTTCTGCTAAATTGGGCCTCTCGCTTCTCATTTTTCTGCAGGGATGGTTGATGTGTAGTTATGATCAAGATGATATTAACATTTGTGCTAAGCACTTAGAGTATTCTTCATCTTCAAAGGACTGCAGAGACATTAGCTAATCCTCCCAGCACTCCCAGAGGCAGGCGGGTTTTATGTTCACTGTTTCACAGGAGAAGGTGCTAAAACGGACTGGTTCCTAGACTAGGAGTGGAGTGCATGCTGGTGACTTGATGTTATCTACGGTGGCTCACATCTCTCATGCAGAGTCTTGTGGTCTCTTCTTCAGCTTGGCCAGGGTGTGCTTGTTCAGGTCTCGCCCTCCCTCGTGAAACGCCAGAAGACTCACTTCCATGACTTGCCCTGTGGTGCATCCGTGATCCTCGGCAACAATGGTTTCATCTGGATCTACCCAACTCCAGAGCAGAAAGATGAAGAGGCAGGGGGCTTCATCACCAACTTGGAGGTGAGGGTTCAGGGAAGATGAACCTTCTCCTGCCAACAATGTTTGTTAGTCTAACATAGTCAGAGGCACATGAGCAACCTGAGACTTTTGAAATTTGGTATTAGGTTCACGGCAAAGCTTTTTTACAGTAGGCTTGCATTATTTCCTTCTGCATTCATCTCTTTTCCTCTGTCTTTCCTCAGCCGGTTCCCTTGTCTGATCGGGAGGTGTATTTTTAAGAGTTGCTTGACTATCAACATCTAAAGAGAACAACATTAACTCAAAAACTGACAACTTGCCCCCCAATCATTTAATCACCCGCTATTGTTACCAAAAGCCCCAAAAGCTTACAAAAAATAGAAAGAAATGCATCCTACTTACACCTGTAGCTAGTCTTTCATATGGGGCATAAGATACAATATATATTAAAAATATGGGAAAAGCTATACTGGAGAACACAAGATAAATGCAGTACCCAAACCTACTTTCAGGTCCTCATTAGCGGTTTTTCAATTTTACCATGTCCCTTTGACTGTTAGTAGGTAATCTACTACTGAATGACATTTATTAAAAATACTTAAGCTGAAATAAGAACTTTACTGCAATGCAAGCTGATTGTTGAAGAGATTTCTCCCATATCAGATACCTGCCAGTCTGTGTTTTCTGATGGGGCTGTATCACTGCACACACGGAGTCTGAAATATGGGAAGGTAAGTTGTTCAAAAGCACTAGGTCTTGGCCTGATTCCGCTCCAGTTGGCTTGTATAAGGCCTTTTGGGGGGATTTTTAAGAAAAAAGCTCTGGAGCAGAGCAGGATGTCGTTATAACCCATTCCTGCAGGTTGGGAAGAATCTTAGCTCCTACATGGGAGCACCAAGCAGAGTTTCCCTAAAGCAGAGGGAGTGCCCTTGAGTTGCCCTTTGAGCTTCTCCTCTCCCTGTCCACAAAATTACAGCCTGTGAGTCCTGTTTCCCCCCACTAGCCGCTTGGGAATTAAACCCTGGGGAGAAAAATCTTCTGACTCAAACTTCATCACTACTCTTCTGCAGGCCGTTGCCCCTGTGACTTGTTTCTCTCTCCGGGGCTCTATTTTAGGCTTTACGCAGTTGGCATTTATCTCTGGTTTTGTGCATTGAAATAAGCTAAGGGGCCATTGGAGCGTACACTGCAGTTTGGGATTACCAGACCAAGGGTATTAGCACTTAAAAGATGAAAGCGAAGTGTGCTTATTGCACAAAGGGTGAAGGACACCAATTGGATTAAGAGGGAAAGTGTTCTGCTAAATTGGGCCTCTCGCTTCTCATTTTTCTGCAGGGATGGTTGATGTGTAGTTATGATCAAGATGATATTAACATTTGTGCTAAGCACTTAGAGTATTCTTCATCTTCAAAGGACTGCAGAGACATTAGCTAATCCTCCCAGCACTCCCAGAGGCAGGCGGGTTTTATGTTCACTGTTTCACAGGAGAAGGTGCTAAAACGGACTGGTTCCTAGACTAGGAGTGGAGTGCATGCTGGTGACTTGATGTTATCTACGGTGGCTCACATCTCTCATGCAGAGTCTTGTGGTCTCTTCTTCAGCTTGGCCAGGGTGTGCTTGTTCAGGTCTCGCCCTCCCTCGTGAAACGCCAGAAGACTCACTTCCATGACTTGCCCTGTGGTGCGTCCGTGATCCTCGGCAACAATGGTTTCATCTGGATCTACCCAACTCCAGAGCAGAAAGATGAAGAGGCAGGGGGCTTCATCACCAACTTGGAGGTGAGGGTTCAGGGAAGATGAACCTTCTCCTGCCAACGATGTTTGTTAGTCTAACATAGTCAGAGGCACATGAGCAACCTGAGACTTTTGAAATTTGGTATTAGGTTCACGGCAAAGCTTTTTTACAGTAGGCTTGCATTATTTCCTTCTGCATTCATCTCTTTTCCTCTGTCTTTCCTCAGCCGGTTCCCTTGTCTGATCGGGAGGTGATATCACGGCTCCGAAACTGCATTGTGGCTCTGGTTACTCAGAAGCTGATGCTCTTTGACACCAGCATCCTGTATTGCTATGAAGCATCCCTTCCTCATCAGGTACAGAAACCAGTGGTGTTTACTTTATTCCACCCTGTGGGGAGGGAACAGAAAGGCCGCATTGGTTGCTGCCGAAGTCAGTAAGTTTGGTGGTAGGGCTTCCTTTCGGGTTTCCAAAGGATCCTGGAGTAAGTGGTAACATGAACTTCCCCCCTTTCTCCAGAACATAAATGCCTTGCATGTTTTCAGGGAAACTTTGAAGGGTTCTGCCTCTGGTAAAGTCTAACTATTCCTATAGAGAAATAGTTCCATTTTTTGATAGACGTGTATCCCTTGCTGGGATTATGGACCCTCTGTGATCCCTGTGAAAGTAGTGTTAAATTTGGGATTCTATGAGGGTAAGGTGCTTCACTTCAAGAACAAATGAAAAAGGAAGTGTCATATATTGTACGGAGACCGGTCTTGTGCTTTTATCCACACCCTGCACTGCTGGAAGACTCCCTCAATTTGACCTCTTGCTGTACAGCTTTCCTCTGTGATTTCTGCCAGGACAGCCACTGGCAATTCTCTTCTCATAAACGGATAAGATCTGAATCTGCCTTCTGCTTTCATTCACAGTGGAAGCCTACGCAGCTAGATGGGATGTTCTTTTGAACTATACTTCTGTTTAAGTCATCTCTCCTCTTCCCAAATGCTGATTTGTGTCCTTCAGGAAAGATTAGGAGTTGTCAGTAGCATCTCCTTTGATTTCTTATGGTCTCTGTAAGAACTGCTAGCTCTGGTAAAGTTGACTTTGCCTTGGACCCTTTGCCATGATAGTCTTGTTTGACCACAGCCCTCTAAACCCACTTGCTGCTCATTGCTGTGTGCCGGGGACCCTTGTCCCCACGGAGTGTGCAATAGTAGTGGTTGCTTTTTGGTGCCAGTGTTACTCTTCTTTCCAATCCAGATCAAGGACATTCTCAAACCAGAGGTGATGGAGGAGATCGTTCTGGAAACCCGACAGAGGCTGCTGGATCTGGAGGGATAGGGCACATGACCAGAAGCAGTCATCTGAAGTCCCAGCACGGCAGCTTTTGATTCTCAGTATTTTTTTTTTTTTTTCAGTGTTCTAGTCCCCAATATTCATTCCATACTTCAGAAACCATCAAAATTCCTCATTTTAACTCCTAGGATACCTCCTGAGCCCTTTTAGTACAATAGTACTAAATAGTACTTAAGTACAATAGCCTTTTAGTGCAGCAGCCTGAAAAATTGATATCTGACCTTTATGAAGATGCAGATGCAACTGGGACATAATCTCATAGCACTCATTGCTGTGTCTAGTGCCCCTGAACTTTGTGCAGAATGATTGAGAGGAAAGGATGTGTTTTGTGATGTTTCTCTCTCCCCAAAGGCTTTCTAAATGGTTTTGATTTTCCTTTACTGTGATACAGATCTGCCAGTCTGTCCTCTGACTGAGGGCTCTTGCTTTTCTCTTTTAAGACTGCAGATCGCAGGTACAAGTCTTTAGAGGCCAAGGGTATCACACCCTTGCTAACCACGTTTTGGGTCTGGCTGTTCATGGTTTATACGTCTCAAGGGTATGAGAATGGATGTGGCATGATGCGGCTGTCCACATGAGCCAGGAGCCATGGGCGAGCAGTATCTTTTCAGTCTATGTGCATCCCGCTGTTCCCTTTTTTAATGCCTGATGTGGTGAGCTCCTCCTCTGAGGAGGCTCCAGTATTGTTTTCTATTAAATGTTTTACTTTTCAATAAATTTTTTGAAACAGACCAGTTATTCAGGAGTGTGTGCATTGGTTTATCTTTCTCCAGAGTGAATTTGGTTTAACTTGAGAACTGTGGTTGGCTCAGGCTTCCATGTGCCAGGATACTTGGAACGGTTGCAACGTCCGGTCATCTCTTCAACTGTTGCTCTTCATCCCATTAAAGCAGGACTTGACCTTCCTCTTCAGCATATCTTCTGTGCAGAGTTTCTCTGTAAGTAGATTGCCTGGGAGGGTTCACAGTGGCTCTCTCAAAATCGCTTCCCTGCAGGATCCCAGGGAGAGGCGAGTCATGCAGCAGCTGTGTCTGGGAGCCCAGTATGACACTGGTGGAGATCCTCAGGCCAGTGGTTAGATGTGGGCATGCTGAGCCAGATGTTGGCAGTCAGCCACTTGCCTTCTCTGTACAGAATGGATGTGATGCTTTCCTTAGAACATCCTCTCAGATTTCTGGTGCTATATTAGAGCCGTTTCTATTATGTATGTATTGTGGATATATATTGTATTTGTATTGTAATAGAGCTGCTTGCACCACAGTGCTGTAATTCTCAAAAAGGATGAAAAAGAAGAATGTCTCTCCTTAATTGTCCCTGAATCTAATTCTAACGCTGCAAATTCTCATGCTTGCCCCAGGCAAAAGGAAAAAAATTCTTCGCTCAATCTTTTCTTGGGAGCTAGAAATACCCTTCATTGCTTCTCCTCTAGTTCAGACTGCCCTGCCTCCGGTCTAGAGTAAGCACTAGGTGGCAGCTTTGGATCGTATTTGTAGTATGTCTTCCCTAGCAGCTCAGCCTCATTGCCCTGCCAAATAGCAAAGGCTGGATGTCTGCCACCAGCACTGTTACCTAAATACTAGAGCATTATGGAGCTCAGTGGCTAAGGACAAGCAAGGACACAGTTAATCCATTTGCTGCTGTGCAGCTCAAACTTCAGCCCATGCTGCCTCTGTAAAGTAGTACTTAACTTCTTGGGGATATTGGTGGAATGCTGCACACAAGACCCAGGAATTGTTATTTTTGAGTTTTATGAGGATTCCCTAATAAGTGCTGTGACGATTGCATCCTCAAGATGACTTGGGAAATCTGAAAATTAAAGCTTGACAGTGACACTGTCGGGTTTGTGGATAATGCTGCTCCCAGCCTCATGCACATTTGTGTGGACAGGAACAGTGCAAAAAGGCTAAAAGCTTTAGCAGCCTCTGAACCTTTCAATTAGAAAAGCACCTCTTTTCATCCCTACCCAATTGCTGTAGTTTAGCAGCTTTTTATCTTGCTACCATATGGGGAGATTCAGGGATTTCTGCTGTGAGGCTTCTAGGTGTAAGCAGATTGGGGATATACAAGCAATGAGATAAAGTATTTGATGTTTCCTTATTTTAGAGCATTTTTGAAGGTTGATGGAGAGGTCGGTATTTAATCCAGTAGATCTCTTCGCATCTCTGCCCCTTAATTTAAACAGCTGTGTGTCAGTTAAAGGGTAAAGGGGTGAAGAGACTTACTTCGCTACCACCCAGAGAGATTTGGTATCTGGAAATGGTTCTACTGAACTGGTACATGAATGCAAAATGCTCCTCTGTCCTCAAGCAACCTCTCTGCAGGCATCTAACAGGTCAGAAAGGGGTTGGGGGGGGGGGTTATGAGGCTCTTGAAAGTGCTGTCGATAATGTGGTGGAAATGTGCTGAGGAAGTGTGCTCTGGAGGTGGTTAATTTAGAGTTGGACCATGGATCATGATCCCTCAAGCATGAGCTGTCAGACCTGCAAGGTGAGACAGTGCCAGGTTCTCATAATGCAGATTTTAGGAAAAGGGTGCTGCTGTCTCTGCAGCAGGCTCTGTGGGCTGCACAGCTGAGTTGTCTTCCCTGCCCCCCCTTCCTTTTTTTTTTTTTCCCCCCCTCTGCATTGCAGTCTTTAAAACTGTGGTCCATTTCCAGGCTTCTTATACTATGCCTCTCTCCCCCTTGTGAGCCTTCTTTGGTTATTTATGCTTAATAAATGAGTATACAACCTGAAAAACAATGAGCTTGAGATCTGGACTGCTTCAGCTCTGGGCTTTCCGATTCTGCCTGCTTGCTGCAGCATTCTCAGTATTTTGGCCTTGGGAATGTATTAAATGGGGGAGAGTATGTGACTTATCCAGTTCCCGTGCTCCCAAATACCTGGCAGTTTTGTTTTTAAGCCTGAGAACAAGAGCAGCAGCTGATAAGGTTTGGTTATGGACCTTTTCTGATGTGTGGGGGCAGCTGAAGGTCCTGGTATTTTCCTCTGTGGCCACGAGGGGTCATTGCCGTTCTTTGCAAATTCAGCCAGTGTTTTGCCAAGCCCAGACCTAAATTCTGTAACAAGGCTTCAGTGAGGGCGTTGCTGCCAGTTCCTGCAACCCCATCAAGCACAGCTTTGCAAGCCAGCAGGTAACTAGGGATGAGAGTGACAAACTTGTGTGGGGAGGGAGAAACTTCCTGAGCAGTCTCAAAGGTGTCTGAGAGAGGTGCCAGGCCAGCTGCCATTTACTGTTGATTTGTCTGAATCCCTGTGATTTTTCGCTCTCTTGACCAATGTCAAGTGCCACCAGTGCTCACCCATCTCGAAAGCAACTGGATGTGTTGCTGGGGCTTGCAGTTCCCATATGGAGAGGCTTCAAGTATCGCTCGCTGTTCAGTCATGACCCACAAGGTGGCAAATGACATTTCCCCTGTGCCTGGCAGAGATGAGTGAGGAGTCAGACAGGGTCTAGGGGAGGCAGCTCGGGTTGGTGAGGGAGCCAGGGCCTCTTTTTCCATAGGCAGGTCTGCATGGGAGTATGGACAGGCTATATAAAATGCCTTTGAAACGGGAAGTGCTTGAGATATAAAGGAGGACTCCAGCAAAAGCAGTGTCCTCTTGAATTCTTGAAGCAGTCTGTGGGATTTTGCTAGGCAACTTCTTAGCAGGAAGGGTAAAAAGGAAGAAGTTATGGCTTCTCTGGTTTAAGAACAGAACCATAGTCGAAAGCGGGGTGGTAACAAGTGTTCATTTTTTATATGGGGAACTTAAAATGCCCATGCAGGTGTTAAAACAGCATAGACCAATCTGATTTCTTTGCTCACCAGTGTCTGACGGCGTGGAGCCTGTTTGTAAACCAGCTGTAGCACCTGCCTGTGTTGCTTACTCCAGGGTTAATACGTGGCACAGATGTGCTTGGAAGTGGAGCAAGTAGATGGTTCCCTTGCTGGTGAGTGCTGCCTGCAGAAACAAGAACACAAAATCACTTGTCTGTAGAAATAATTTTCATGTTTCTTGGTGGCAGTGTTTGATTCATGTAGTAATATGAAGAGTGGCAACCCCTCCCTTTACTCCCAGTAATAACCATTGGGATTTTAAACTTGTGCTAATGGGTTATTAATCCAATTACTGCTGCTTATTACGTTACTTCTGTATCATCTGCATGCAGTTCTGCTGTTCAGTTGTGGTGAATGGTATAAATACAAAGCTTTGAGCAGACCCTAGAAGATACTGAAACCCCACTGAGATTACAGGCAGTCTTGAAATTGTTGTCACAGGTTCCTGAGGGCCGCTAATTAATATGCTAAGGTTTATTATTTGGTAAAGAGGTTGAAGTTTTAAGAGATCATTATGGAGGAAATGGAGGAAAATATCACTGCAGCTGTGGGCTGTAACAACCCACACTTAATTGGAGGTAAACAGAGTATTGACATTTCTTTTATGAAACATACGGGATGTACGCAGGCCACATGCAAGGCTCGATTGAAAGAAACAGTCTGTAGATTTTTTTCTTAATTTATTTTGCATTCACACAATCTTTCTGTTAATTCTGAACTCACCGGGCAACTTCAAGTTTGTTAACATGAGACAGTCGTGTTCACAAAAACTGGCAGCGGGTAGGGGACAGAAAATAGGATACCCTTCAGGAAGGAAAATAAGGCAGATATCCTGCTGTGATATTTGGGAGTGACCAGCTGGCCCGCCTGCCTGTGGTATAGCCCCAGATTACCTACAGCACTGTTTTGGGAAACGGGAAATGCTTTTGGAGCAACTGAGTGGAGAGGTTGGGGACTGCTGACAAAGAACCTGCCCCGCTTTGCTGCTTATGGCTGCAAAGCATCAGAAGGAATACCTGACTGTTGACCTGAATGATAAACTCACCTAGTCTGTTAAATATTGTAAATATGTTCATCTACATAGATCTCAGGTGAGGCAGGGAGAAGCGTATATGCAGCCTGCATTGTCCAGAACACAAGTCCTGCTTACTTGCAATTAACCTTTGCGTATTTTGGTGAAGGTTGTCTATCATGGACCTGTGGTGGTCTTCTGGAGTTCACTCTGCTTCAGCCCCGCCACGGTAGGAGAGATTATCCGGGATGCTCCAGTCAGACCCAGAAGGGAATGCATTTTTCAGTAAAGGATGGTTGGTATTGTTTTTTGTAACAAGTTTCTCTCAGGCTGCTCGACCTGCGTTGACAGACAGCTTTGTTTCCTCGGTTTCCTTCAATCTGTGGGAGCTGAGCAGGGGGTTAGATCACCGCAGTGAGAAGCTGATCTCCATTACTGAGATAAACCTGGAGAAATTCTGCTGAGTTCAAGAGATGTGACCCTGGATTTGTCTCAGCATAATGTACCAGAATTTCTCTCTCCTGCCTGTGGGTAGCACAAACAGCCTCAGTAGCTGCAATTTCAGTCACTGATGAAGAAATGCAATAGAAATGGTTTGGGATCAATCTCCTGGATAAGAATTAGTGGTGTAGGAGCAGACTGGCACAGCAGAGGATCCCATAGGGCCGTACAAAGTGCTGCATTTCAGATGCTGTTGTTGGAAGACGAAAAGTACATGTCTGCCAGGGACCTTGAATATGGCTTAGGAGACATGGAGTACATTTGGACTTGTCACAAGGGAGGAGTCAGTATAAACAAGCTGCCCGGTGTCCAGATGTTTACCCTGAGCAGGAGGCTACTGCACAAAATTGCATTTGTGTGTTCTGCCGTTGTCGAGTGGGAGCAACCACAGACCTTTGACCAAAACACCCTGACCTCAAGCTGCTGCCTCAACCCTCTTCTATTCCCAAGGTGAACTGGAGAACGTATGAGAAACTAAATATCTTCAGCGTCACCGTCTGTGCTCTTTAGCTCAGGGAACACTTGTGCTGCACATCTAAGGGCACCACAGTGCAGAATTTGGGGATTTAACGTCATCTTTGTACCAAATAGTGCATGTAAGTAGATCAATAAAGTATGTTTTGTTGTCGCATTCATTGGCCTCTGTGGCTGGTTTTGGTATCAAGTTCTGCATATGCTCTGACAGCGTTAATAAGGAAGCCAAGTCCTTTGTGTGAGCGGGGTGACTGATCCCTGGTTGTGGAAAAGCTGATGGTTGTGCACACAGCTGACCCAGTGAGAATCTCTTATTCCTTGTCCATCTTGGCAAGAAATTGAGTCCGGAGCTGGCCAGGGGCCTCGAGACCTGTGCACAAGAGGGGGTCTCTATCTGGCTTTGAGGGCTGACAAGCTCTCATCAGATCTAGGAGAAAACAACTTGGGTGGCCCTTTGCAAAGGGGTAAGGGATTTGACATGAGTGTTCTGGGTCCTTGGCTAGCATTTGCTAGGGATGTTACACTAGTAAATCCTGCTTCCACCTGTCATTTCCACCACCTTCCCCTTTGTCCTGCTCCCCTCGCAGCTCCCCTTCTGTTTCCCTCATCTTCCTTTCCATGCCCTCTCCACCCACCTCGTCTTCCCCTCAGACCCCTTCACGGCACCCTCATTTCCCTCACGGCTTCGCTCTGGAGCCCAGCCCTCTGTTCCCTCATGCTCCCCTCATTGCCCTCACGGCTCCCCTCGCCCTCTCCTTCACCCCCCCGCCCTTCTCCTCACGGGCCCTTGCTCGGCCCCTCATTCCCCTCAGAGGTTCCCCCCATCTCCTCAGGGGCTTCCCCCTCGGAACCGCCTCACGGACCCCATCGCCCCGGCGCCCCACATCGCCCCATTCCCTTCGGGGCGCCCCTTCCCCGCCCGGCAGGGTCCCGTCATGGCGGCG